CTGCAAAGCCGCGTCCTTCTCGCTGTCCGAGCTTCGTGCACGGAGCCCCTCCAGCCCTCACGACTCCGCCCGGCTCCGGCCCGTCCTCCCTGCAGGGGCCACCGCAGCCCCCACGCCCTAGGCCCCACGTCGCCGCTCCGGGCTCAGCCTCCACCCGCCTCAGCTGCCTGCTCCTCGCGACCTCCCGGCGGCTACCTGGGCTACGAAAGGCTCCGGGGCCACCGACAGTGCGGCTGCCACCTGCCCAGACCGTCCTCGTCGGACCCCCTCGAGAGCTCCTGCAGCCGGAGATGGACACCCCTTCTCCGGAGCCCTCGCGCCCCCCAAAGACAGCGCGGCCGCTGGCTTACCTGTCACCCCGCTGCCTCCGGCTTCTTACCGCCACCGCCTCCCGCAGCCGCCTGCCAACTGCAGCGCAACAAGCAGCCCTCCCATTGGCCGGGCCCACGCTGAACAACAGCCTCACTTATTGGCTGCAGGAGGTCCGCGGCCCGCCCCTCGGTGCAGCATCAATTCCGGTCTGCGAACAAGGAAAACATCGCCTCTGCCCCGACCTTCGGTCTTCCACCGTGGCTCCGATCGTCGGGAGACGACGGATGCACAAGTGTACTGGGTGAGGTGGGGGAAATGTCGACTGTCAGCCTCCTTCGCGTCATCTCCACCTGGTTCATAAGTCTGTGACCCCGAACCGGAACTGCTTCTCGGCTTTCCTGCCGGAAGGACCTCCAGGTGGCAACTTCCGCTTCCGGTTGGCTCCGGCCGGAGGCTTGACTATTGAGTGTCCTCAGAGGTCAGATTGCTGTCAGGTAAATTAGAGAGCTGGTGGGCGATCTCTTGAGTGGAAATAGGAATGAGACATCCATTCTAGGGGGGGGGGTCGAAAAGGAGAGACAAAATAAAGAAGGATGATGAGGGTGTGTGGCTCCAGAGGGAAGGCGATCGAAGAGCTAGCGGGAGAGAGCTGTGAAGTTCTGGGGTGGTGAGGGTGGGTGTACAAGGATACAGTGGGAATGACGGGGCTTATTCAGTCCACATGCCTTTTTCCTACTCTGCCACCAGCAGCATCCCCTGTCCCGTGTTGTTATTTTTTGTTTGTTTGTTTACATTTGAGTTGAATAAAGGCAGAACAGCCCCCAAATCAAAAATGTGTGAAAGAGGGCCCTAGCTGATTTGGCTCAGTGGGAAGAGCGTCAGCCTGCAGACTGAAGGGTCCCAGGTTCAATTCCAGCCAAGGGCACATGCCTGGATTTCGGGATCAATCCCCAGTGTAGGGGTTGCAGGAGGCAACCACTCGATGATTCTCTTTCATCATTGATGTTTCATCATTGATCTCTCCTCCATTCCTCTCTGAAATCAATAAAAAAATATATATATATTAAATTTTTGAAGGAGGAATAATTATAATGCCTGCCTCACAAATATATATAGTTTTTCTTTTATTATATATATTTTATTCCCCCGACTGGAACCGAACCGGGATCCTTCAATCCGCAGACTTATGCTCTACCCACTGAGCATAACCGGCTAGGGCAAATATGTATAGTTTTAAGTGAGATTTTTTTTTTCCTGCTGTGAATGTTTTGGACACGATGTTAAAGTGAAAAAACAGGGTACAAAGTCGCATCCATTTTTAGAGCGATTTACTCCAAAATTTTTACTATTTTAAAATTGCATGTACATAGGTGCAGGGACTGGAAGGGACACTAAAAAATTCATTCATCTTTTATTTACTAATGTTCTTATAATACCCCCAATTTTAAAAATGAGAGGAAATTGGGGTGTGTGCTTGAAAGTCTTTGGTAAATCACAAAATTACATATGTTGTAAGTGGTATTACCGTGTTTCCCTGAAAATAAGACATCCTCCGAAAATAAGACCTAGCGCATGGAAAGATAAGACATCCCCTGAAAATAAGACCTAGTGCAACTTTGGGAGAAAAAATTAATATAAGACACTGTCTTATTTTCAGGGAATCAGGGTATCCTCTTATTTCCTTCTTAGGGATTCCATCCCCCTTTAGTGGAGGTTGATATTATAGGTTTACTCCAAACATAAGTAGATAGCTTTTTAAATTTTCATGACTACGTGGGTTTTCTTTGTGGAAATAACTCCTTGCTATTCTTGTTGGAACAACTCTGAACTGGAAATAATCACCTGTTGTTGAGTCCTTAGCATACTTTGTCACTTTATCTAATTTCCTATTTTACTGTGAAGTATACATAATAATAGGGCGTATAAAAGATTACTTTTTAAAGAATTCTAATTAAGCAAACACTTGTGTACCCACCCTTCTGTTTAGGACATAAAGCATTGCCAATACCTTAGAACATGCATTCTCAACACAAGTGATTGGCCTTTGAGTATTTGAAAATTGGTTCTGAGAGATGGACAGTGTGTGAAAAAATCATAGATACTACTGAGGTGTGTGGCTCTCCAAAAAGCCATAGTACATAAACATGATATAACATATCTGTAGTGTTGAAATTTCATTGGGGGAGGGGAATGAGAATGTGATAAGGAAAACAATTGTCCAAAAAACTCCTTTGGCGTACAAGAATTAAGAATAGGTTGAAAAACACTGCTTTAGAAGCTCTGATTTTATGTCCTTCCCCAAGGGGTAACTACTATCCTGACTTGTGATAAGCATTCACTTGTTTCAAGCATTCATTTTATTTTCTATCTATCTATAATGCATTCCTAAAAAAATAAATTGTTAGGTTCTTCAATTTATATTGATGGGATCAAAGTATATGACTCACCCCTTTCTCATCATATTTGTAAGATTAATTCACACTGTTGCATTTTGTTTTTGTTGTCTAATGTTCCATAAGTTTCTATTTCATAATCCATTGTTGGATATTTGGATTGTTTATAATTTGGGGCTAGAATCAATAATGTGGTTTAAAAGTTTTTATAAAATATATCTATTGTTATATACATGCAAGAGTTTCTCTAAAGCAGTGTGCAGTCCAATGAAAACATAATGCAAGCCATATATGTAATTTAAAATTTCTTAGTAACCATATTAAAAAGATAAAAAGAACCATAACATTAATTTAACATAATCAGTGTTAAAATTATTAATGAAATATTTTGTTTTCTTCATACTGTCTTTAAGACTTATGTATTTTACACTTATAGAATGTTTTATGCTAAGTTTTCATAAACACTTGATCTATGTTTCTATTTTATCAAATTTACTGTTGATAAAGTAAATCCATATACCCAAATTGTTTGAAATACACTCTGAATTTTCCAATAATTAATTTGAGAATCGATTTTGAAATTTAAATTAATTAAAATTAATAGGAAGTCTAGTTCCCCAGTTACATTAACCACATTTCAGTGCTAGTGGCTACCAAATTGGACAATGCAGATCTAGAGTATATAAACTTAGGAGTAGAATTGCTAGGTCATAAAGTATTCAGATGTTCCACTTTTCTAGATCATGCCAAACAGTTTTTCAGAATGGTTGTGCTAAGTCACATTTTCGCCCCCTGGGTGTGAAAGTGGAAGGCACATCACAGTGAGCTGAAGTTTATTTTTATGTTATGTATAAAAATAATACTAGTAAAACTGAAGTCTTTATGTTACTATTGAGGGCATATTTTATTTAAGGAAACAAACTTACAAATTAAAAAGGGGTCCTTTTAAAATATATATATTTTTATTAATTTCAGGGAGGGAGAGAGAGAGAGAAACATCAGTGATGAGGCAGAATCATTCATTTGCTTCCTCCTGCACACCCCCTACTGGGGACCGAGCCCACAACCCAGGCATGTGCCCTGAGAAGGAATCGAACCATGACTGCCTGGTTCATAGGTCAACACTCAACCACTAAGTCAAATAGATGATGATAGATAGATAGATAGATAGATAGATAGATAGATAGATAGATAGATAGATAGATAATAGATGATAGATAGAGAAGGTCACATTCTCAGGTTGCGGTTCCATCCCCTGTGGGGTGCATACGTGTGTCTCTCTGTCTTCCACCCTCCCCCTCACCCGCCTCGCCCCCTTTCTTTCTCCCTTTCTCTCTCTTTAAAAAAATCAATTTAAAAGAACATGTTAAAATTCAACCCATTGCCTGTTTTGTGTACAGGCCATCAGTTAATAATGTTTTTTACAGACAATCATGTACAATCAGTTTGACATTAAGGGACACTAAACTTTTAAGCCCTAGTTAAACAAAATGTTATCTTCCCAAAAATGACATTTTCCTCATCAGTAGACCTGTATTACAAAAAAATATATACTCCGTTATTATGTTTTGAATGTTATCAACAAAATATCTGTGGAAAGTTGTTTTCTCTTGCCTTATAAGTACCCACATAGTCTAAGATATTGACTATCTGGCTCCTTACAGAAAAAATTCATGCTATCATGTTTACGTTTAAACACAATCATGCTATATTTTAATAGGATCATCTAAAGATAGTAACAAATCAGTGTGTAAGACATCTTCATTATGCATAATGAAAGCATTAAAAGAAAGGGAACAGTATTGCTTAGAAATTAGGAACAAGGGCTCTGAAACCAAACTGCAAGTTGTACCATTTATTATTTTTGTTACCTCCAGAGAGTTACCTTCATGCACCCTCATTGTCTTCATCTGTAAAATGAAAATAGTCATTGTAATTTAAGTTCAAATAGTTGCTTTGGAAGTAACAGTTAATATATGTAAAGTACTTTAGAGTATCTGGGACATTTATTGACAGACACTAAATGTCTGTCATTATTTTAATGGAGAAAAGAATAAACAAAATAAATGGTCATCTCTGAGTGATGGTATTATTGATCTTTTTTTTTTTTTAATTTATATGTGTGTGTTTCCTAATTGTGAACATACACTGGTTATATAATAACATGCTGTATTATTGGTTCTCTCTTTAAAACATTAATTTTAAATGTTTTACCTTAAAACATTAGTAGTAAACTTGGTTATTCAATAGCTACAATGTGCAATTTCTCTCTTACTTTACTCTTTTCCTATAGACATGGCCCATGGACATGAGCATGGGCATGGGCATGGGCATGGTAAATTGGTCCTTCCGGATTACAGGAAATGGAAGATAGAAGGGACACCCTTAGAAACTGTGCAGGAGAAGCTGGCCGCACGGGGGCTCAAGGATCCTTGGGGCCGGTAAGAATCTTTAAATAATTTAGATAGAATTTATCGTAGAGAATCGTTACTTGCTTCTTTTTTGTGTATTTCCCTTTAAAAAAAAAATTGAAGATGGCTTTTTACATTAAAGTTTTAAAATCCGTTTTATTGAAGTATCATTCACATACAGTAAAATTCACCCATTTTGAGTGTCTAATTCCATGAGTTTTGGTAAATGTATACAATTATGTAACGACCACAGTCATGTCATAAACTGTTTCTGTCATCCCAAAAGTTCTCTTGTGCCCTTTCACACTCAGCGTCATCCTGCCCTGCTCCTGGCAACCTTTGATCGGCTTTGTGTCTCCACCCTTTCCTCGCCTCCTTCGCTGGCATACTGCTCTGGAGCTATAGGTGCACTGTTAGCTGGTATCCCTCGTTTCTTCCTTATTGACTGCTGAGCAACATCCACTGTGTGCATAGACCTCATTTTGTTTGCAGTTCACCAATTAATTGTCCTTTGTGTTGTTTCCAGTTTTTAACCGTTATGAGTAAAGATGCTATAACCAATCTAGTACAAGTCTGAGTGAACATGATGTTTTCATTTCTCTAAGAGTAGGGTTTCTGGATCTTATCATAAGTGTGTGATTATTTTCATAGGAAACCTGCCAAACTGTTTTCCAAAGTAGCTGTACCATTTTGATTCCCACCAGCAATGTATGAGAATTTCAGTTGTTCAATATCCTCCTCATCAATACTTGACATTATAGGTCTTTTAATTTTAGCCATTTTTGTGAATGTTATGCCTCTTTGCTATTTTAATTTGCATTTCCATGGTTCCTTGAAGACATGATCATAACATTCTTTTCCAGTGCTTATTTGTCATTAGTCCTTTCCCCCTGCTCCCCTTTGGTGCAGTGGCTATTCACATATTTTGCCTATTGATTTATCAGGGTATTTATCTTCTTTTACTGAATTCCTAGAGGCCCAGTGCACTAAATTCATGCATGGGTAGGATCCCTAGGCATGGCCAGTGACCAGGGCCAATCAGAACCTTCTGGCTGCTGGCTAGGACCTCCCTTTTCCGGCTGGCAGCAGCCAGGGCCTTCCTGGTGGTCAGCACACATCATAACGAGCAATCAAACTCCTGGTCTCCCAGTCAAACTCTCAAGAGGACACTTTACATATTAGCCTTTTATCAGATATATATTTTATAAATGTTTTTTGTTTTATTTTTTAATATTTATTTTAAAAATATTTTTTTTTATTGATTTCAGAGAGAAAGGGATCAAAAGAGAGAGAGAAAGTGGGGAAGAAACATCAATGATGAGAAAGAATCATTGATTGATTGCCTCCTGCACACCTCTACTGGGGATCGAGCCTGTATATATGCCTATACCGGACCAGGAATCAAATTGTGACCTCCTGGTTCGTAGATCGATGCTCAACAACTAAACCATTCTGGCTGGGCTACAAATGTTTTTTCCTAAGAGTTTGGCTTATTTTTTCATTTTTTAAATAATGTCTTTCAAAGAGTTTTAAATTTTGATGAAGTCCCAATCTGGCACTTTTCTATTATGGTTTGTGCTTTTTGCACCCTCAATTTTCTCCTGTGGTTTCTCTTACAAGTTTTTATAGTGTTACTTTTATATACTGTGAGGTGAGGATGAAAGTATTTTTGCATTTGGACATCAGTTGTTCCAGCACCATTTGTTAAGACTGTCTTTCCCATATTGGTTTACGTTAATGCCTTTGTAAAAAATCAATTGACAGTATCTGTGTGGTCTATTTCTGGATTCTATTCTGTTATCCAGAATAGAATGTCCACCCTTATGACAATACTACAATGTCTTCAAATCAGGTAGCATAAGAGCTCCATTTTTTTAAAAAAAAAAAAAAAAAAAAAAAAAGCTATTTTAGGTTCTTTGCATTTATATTTAAAATTTAGGTTGAGTGTTTCAGTTTCTACAAAAAGCTGCCTTGGATTTTAATTGGGATTTCACTGAACCTATAGCTCAATTGAGGATAATGATATCTTTTTTTAAAAAAATATATTTTATTGATTTTTTTACAGAGAGGAAGAGAGAGGGATAGAGAGTTAGAAACGTCGATGAGAATCATCGATCAGCTGCCTCTTGCACACCCCCTACTGGGGATGTGCCCTCAACCAAAGTACATGCCCTTGACTGGAATCGAACCCGGGACCTTTCAGTCCGCAGGCCGAAGCTCTATTCATTGAGCCAAACCAGTTTCGGCGATAATTGGTATCTTAACACTATAGAATCTCCTAGTCTATGAACAATTTAGATCCTTTTTAATTTCTCAGCAGTGTTTTATTTATAGGCCTTGTAATATTTTATTAAATCTATCATGAGTTTTTCCATATTTTAATAGTATTGTAAATGGTATTTTAAACTTTAATTTCCAGTTTTTTGCTAATATATAAAAATATAATTGGAGTTTATATATTGACTTTGTATCATGTTCCCTTGCTAAATTCACTTTTTAGTTCCAACATTTTTTTACAGATTGTTTAGCCTGTTTGTGTACACTTGTTTTATTTCTTCCTTTTCAATCTATAAACTTTTAATTTCTTTTTTTTTTTTTTTGCATTATTGTATTGGCTAACACTGCTAGTATAATGTTGAATAGAAGTGATGTAAATGGACATTCTTGCCTGTTCTGCATCTATTGAGATGCTCACATAATTCCTTTATTCTATTAATATGATGAATTTCTCTTAATGATTTTTCACAGATTAAACCAATCTTGAATTCCTAAGGTAAATTCTATTTCATCATGATATATTATCATATATATATATATGATAACTATATATATATAGTTGGATTCAATTTTCTAAAATTTTGTTAATAATATTTTCATCTAGCCCTAACTGGTTTGGCTCAATAGATAGAGCATCGACCTGCAGACTGGAGGGTCCCAGGTTCGATTCCGGTCAAGGGCATGTACCTTGGTTGTGAGCACAACCCTAGTAGGAGGTGTGCAGGAGGCAGCTGGTTGATGTTTCTCTCTCATCGATGTTTCTGACTCTTTATTCCCCTCCCTTCCTCTCTGTAAAAACCAATAAAATACATACATATATATATATATATATATATATATATATATATATATTTTTTTTTTTTTTTTTTTTTTTTTTTTTTTTTTTAAAGAACATCTGCATCTAGCCTTGACTGGTTTGACTCAGTGGATGGAGTGTTGACCTGCAGACTTAAGGGTCCCAGGTTCAGTTCCAGTCAAGGGCATGTACCTTGGTTTGGGCATATCGGAGGGTGGGGGGGGGATTGTGCAGGAGGCAGCTGATTGATGTTTCTCTCTCATCGATGTTTCTAGCTTCTATCCCTCTCCCTTCCTCTCATAAAAAAATCAATGAAATATATTTTTTTGAAGAATATTTGCATTTAAAATAAAAAAAATAATATTTGCATCTATGTTCATTAGCGATATTACTCTATAGTTTTCTTCTAATGTCTTTGACTTTGGTATCTAAATTGTATTTGATTATCTCATATTTTCTAATAAGTCAGGTCTTTAGTTAAGTGGTTTTTGTTCTTAATAACATGATTTTTCCCACTCACTTACCGCTGCCTGTGAGAGAAGACTTTTTTCAGGAGAGTCTTGATGCTGTAATGACTAATGTAGGCAAAGCCACACAGCTGTTTTTTCTTCTACTTTACATGTGAAATGCAGGCATATGGACCTAATTATCCTATGTCACCGAAAGATACCTATAAGATGGTCTTATATAAGGTTGCATTTACATCTGTTAAAAAGATGAAAGTTAAATGTATTTTACTCAGTGAATGTGCATGTATGTGATTATAACCTTTGCTCCTTTTTTTTTTTTTCTAGCAATGAAGCTTGGAGATACATGGGTGGCTTTGCAGACAACGTCACCTTTGCTGGTGCAATGCTAAAAGGATTCAAATGGGGGTTTGCTGCATTTGTGGTAGCTGTAGGGGTTGAATATTTCCTGGAGTCCCAGAATAAAGATAAGAAGCACCACTGAAGATAATACCTAAAAGTATCTTAGTGACTTCTTAACTCTGTTATTAAAATAAGATTTCTTCACTGTTGCCTACTCATCTGTGTGTTTGTCCCTTAAAGAATACTACTAAGATTTAGTAAAGAATACATGTTCCATGACCTCACTCATTTATGGATAATAAAGAACATTATAAACTGATGAACCAAAAGATAGATATAGAGAGGGTAACAACAAGCAGACTGTCAAATTGCAGCTGGGAGGGGAGGGAGATATGGGGGAGATAAGAGATCAACCGAAGGACTTGTATGCATGCATATAAGTATAACCAATGGACACAAAACTCTGGGGAGGGAGGCCATGTATGGGAGTGGGCGGGGTGGGGGGCAATGGTAAGATATGTACACAAATAATTCAATAAAAAAAATTTTTAAAAAAATAAAATAAAATAAACTTTCCTGGGGGGGGGGGGGGGGGGGGATACATGTTCCAGTCTGGTTTTGTCATTCTTAAAAAAAGGTATTTCAAACCATATCAGATTTGCTTTAGAACATGTGGTCGTTGAGTTACACGGAGCAGTGCATTCTCTACATGGCAGCTAGCCAGCATATATTTCAACAAATAAGTATGTTTTAAATGGACAGGGTCTAAAAACATTTGAATAGTGGTAAAATTTTCCATCTTAACCACTTTTTAGTGTACAGTTGCTGGTATTAAATACATTCATAATGTGCAACCATCACCATCATCCATCTCCATAACTCTTCATCTTAAAATTAAAAGTCTATGCCCATCTATCATAATAAAAGGAAAAATATGCTAATTAGACCAGACATCCTCCCTGGGAATGGGGGATGGCAGGGGGGTAGACAGAGGGAAGCCCAGGTCCTGGGTGCCAGGGGGTAGCTGGGGAAAGGAAGGCCTACTCTTGCACAAATTTCGGGCATCAGGCCTCTCGTTAAACAATAATTCCCTATTCCCCCTTAAATCAACACCTAGCAACCACCATTCTACTTTCCATCTCCATGATTTTGACTTCCCTATAAAGCACCTCGTGGAGGTGGAATTGCACACTCTTTGTTACTGGCTTATCTCAGCCTAATGTCCCCAAGTTTCATCCATGTAGCATATATCAGAATTTCCTTTTTAAAGCTGAATAATATTATTATGGTATGTATATGTCATAATTTGCTTATCCAGTCATTCATTGATGGACTCGGGTTACGTCCACATTTTAGCTATTATAAATAACGTGGCTGTGAACATGGGTGTATGGACAGGTTTGTAAATGGGGGTTGGCCTTGCTGCTTTTACTATCTCCTGCAGGTGACTAGAGAGACCTGTATAGTATTATACTATTAGATACTTCCTTCCCAGTTCTGATTGACTATGTATCATGTTCATTTTTTTTACTCTTGATTTAGTCCTCTTTCCCATGTAAAAAGTGACATTTTTTTCTAACAATACACTAGACATTTCCCCCACATTGAGTTTAAAATTTTTTAATTAAATCTCTAAAGTTGAGACAACTCAGATTGTTGAAAAGGGACTTTTTTTTTATTTTTTATTTATTTATTTATTTATTTATTTATTTATTTTTGCTTTAATAACAAAGCTAAGCCTAGCCACTCTGGCTCAGTGAATAGAGTGTCAGCCTGTGTACTGAAGGGCCCCCGATTCGATTCAAGCCACATACCTGGGTTTCATGCTTCTCCGCTTCCCTCGTCAGGACATGGGTAGGAGACAGCCAATCGATGTGTTTCTCTCACATTGATATTTCTCTCTGGCTTTACCTCTCTTCCACTCTAAAAATCAAGGAAAAATATCCCTGAGGATTAAATTCACACACACACACACACACACACACACTAAATAAAACGTGTGATTTTTTTTTCTTTGTAAATTTTAATTTGTAAATATAAGCTTGAGAAATTAAACAAATGAGAGGAATTTCTAATAAGCTGATAGTAATAAATAGAATATGGTAGAACAGAATAAAAGAAGACAAGAATTTAACAAGGAATAAAGAGAAGGAACAAAAAAGCGATAGAACACGTAAAAATAAGGTGGTAGATTTAAACTTAATTATATTAAATATAGCAAATGGTCTAAAATTTAAACTCTAAAACATTCCAATTAAAAGACATTGTCTTGCCCTGTCCGTTGTTAGAGTGTTGTCCTGATACACCAAGGTTGGGACAACAAATCAATGTTTCTCCCTTTTTCCCTCTAATCAATTTTTTAAAAAATGTATGGAGTAACTGCCTGGATTCCAGAGGAGCTGCAAAGCACACAGACCACTGTCATTTTAGCTGATGCCATCACTTGGACTAGAGCCAACTAATGAGAGATTTGTTCTGAAGATGTATGACCATGGGAAAATGCTATTTATGTGTTTGCTAGTCTCGAAATAAGCACTGTGGATGATTATATGTAAAAGTATGGCCCCATTAACAAAGCCTGAGATGGCATAGCTAGTAAGTTCCAGAGTTAGATTTTGAATCCAGGGTTGACTCAACTGCCCATAGTAAACACTAAATTATGCTAACATGTCATATGTGATATGTACTATAAAATGCTATAAAATTATTCTTTGGAATTTTTAATTTTTTGGTATGGGAAAAGTTATATTTACAGCTCTTTATATAAATAATCTGGTATGAGATAGTTATACAACACAGAATTGACCAATTGAACACATTTTACACAACAAACATTCATAAGGCTGAGTATGAAGATTATAGAAAAATGCTAAAGCCAAAGGAGCAATGGTCATAAACTGGTAAAATATAACATCTCTTATATCAATAAGTCAAAGAAAAAGCTACTCTATATCCATAATCCTTATGTGTGTCAAGGAAAAGCAATAGAGTTTAAAGAAATGAAGCACTGAACTTCAGGAGTTATAGGTTCAATTCCTAGTTCTGTTGCTAACCCCAGGAATATTTCCTCATCTATTAAAGTGAATCTTTGTGGGTTCTTAGTTTGTTCTAGGGGAAGATCAGAGGACCTCGATGCGTACACCAGCTAGAACCTTACGAGTTAAAATACATTGCAACCTGAAGTATTATTATGCAATCTTTAAGGGATGAGTCCAGGTTTTCCGTAGTTCTTTTTCTACAAAATGGCGCAATTAGTTGTAACTAACCATTGTCCTTTGGATCTTTACTAATTATGCTTGGTGTAACCAGTAAGTGTTTTTAAAAAAAAATCTAAGGTATGGTATGTAATATTTCATAAAAAGAGGCAATAAGGACTACAGTAATTTTACTGTACACATATAAGGGAACTGTGTTTTGACATACCTAATAGAACAGATACACACATTTTTAAAAATATATATTTTATTTTATTTTATTTTTTCAGAGAGGAAGGGAGAGAGATAGAGATTAAAAACATCAAAGAGAGAGAAACATTGATTCAACTGCCTCCTGCACACTCCCTACTGGGGATGTGCCTGCAACCAAGGTACATGTCCTTGACCAGAATGGAATCTGGGACCCTTCAGTCCAAAGGCCAATGCTCGATCCACTGAGCTAAACTAGTTAGGGCAGGATGCACTCATTTTTTTTATGGTGACATAAAAGATGTGTACAAAGACAGGCTTGCGTGGCTCAGTGGTTGAACGTCGACCTATGAACCATGAAGGCAAAGTCCGATTACCCGTCAGGGCACATGCCAGGGTTGCAGGCTTAAACCTTAGTGTAAGGCAGCCAATCCATGATTATTATCATGGATGTTTCTATCTCTCTCCCTTCCTCTCTGAAATCAATAAAAATACATATTTTTTAAAATTGATTTCAGAGAGGAAGGATGAGGGAGAGATAGAAACATCCATGATGAGAGAGAATCATGGATTGGCTGCCTCCTGCAAGTCCACCACTGGGAATCAAGCCTACAACTGGGGCATGTGCCTTTGACCGGAATTGAACCTGGGACCTTTCAGTTCACAGGCTGACACTCTACCCACTGAACCAAACCAGCGAGGGCAATATCTACTATTTTTAACAAAACTAACCTTCTTGAAGTAGATAAGTAGCTTAAGAAGATTTTTACCAAGAAATGGCTGGTGAAGCTAATACTGCTAATGCAAGAATGAGCAAACAAGAGGAAAATAACAGCAATGCACTCTTTGTCAAGAACATTATCAGACACATACAATGACCTAATCATGGAAAAGAAGTCAAGCAAAAATAATAACCACCACCACCATCATCATTATCATCATCATCAGCATCATCATCAAGAAAACCAAAGTATGAGCTTGGGCTCACTATCAGTAGTACAATGGAAGCATCCATATTATATAAAAACTGCTGTTTGAAATTTTAAGCCTACTATTTTGGCTTCTGTAAATGCTTGCTTGCTTAGATAATAAGAAAAATAAGACTAATCCCATTCCAGAGAGGCCGTGGACTATGTCCCAGGCAGAGTTGTCAGTGCTGACACCAGGCCAGGCCTTGAGATATGGTCTCATAACCCCTTCCCAGGATGCAGGCCTTCTTTCCCAGAAGACCCAGAAGTCTCAGTCCAAATTTGGGAGACAGAAGAGCTAGAAAAGATATAAATAGAAAAAGTTTCCTCCATATGGGGGGTCTCAGAATTTGAAAGGCTCATTTTTCTCTGGCCCTGAGCATAATAAAATGTAACTCCCTTTCTATAACGTGGCTTGGGTTTTCTCCATTCTTCTGTAACACAACGAACCTTGCCCTCAGAGAGTATTGATTTGATATATTAACTAATGATGGGATATAATCATCAGGTTTAGCAAAACATTTTTTAAAAATGTTTCACCTTTGTCTTCTCTAATTTCTATATTTGTTTATTCTTAGTGTACATAGATGATAATATTTACATTTTAATTATTAAAATGTAATAATTAAAATGTAATTTTAATTATTTTAAAATGTAATTTTAAAATATTTTTTTAAATATTACAGTTACAAAGTTTCATAATAAAATCCTCATGGGTTATTGGAATCTCTCGAATTTCAAAGTTTCATAATAAAATCCTCATGGGTTAT